GCTAGGAACAAATGGCATCGCTACTAGGAGCAAGAAGCAAGGACGCTCCTAGTAGCTCCTGGCCTTACTGCTAGGAACAAGAAGCTGCTAGGAACAAATGGCATCGCTACTAGGAGCAAGAAGCAAGGACGCTCCTAGTAGCTCCTGGCCTTACTGCTAGGAACAAGAAGCTGCTAGGAACAAATGGCATCGCTACTAGGAGCAAGAAACTTCTAGACCCCTAAACTAAGCTTTGGGCGGCAGACCAGCGCTGCTTTAGCCGTCAGAGCTGTGCCCTGTGTCCAGGCTACATCTGGGGAGACCGATGTTTCCCTCACCATCACCAAGGTCTCGGTGGCCTCGGTTTCGGGTGTGGTCCAGATGCTTTTTGACAAACTTCTATAGGTGGCTGGCAGAAAGCGGACGTTCACTTTGAAAAATTTGGCCCATGAGATTGATGGGGCCAAGGCCGGGGAAGCAGGTCAGACCAGCTGCAAATGGTTGCACTATATAGTCATAGTCCTTCCAACCTTCTGTTGCATGTCCAGCAGGTCAACCACAAGAAGGGCAAAGGCACCTGCTTTCTTGACCATGCAGTCATGCAGCCTAGGGCCTAGGCATTCAAAATACCCAGCATTCCCTGCTGAACATGGAGCCGAGATAGATGGAGCGTGCAAGACAGATTGTTTATTGATATGACGTTGTCTGTTTTTTTCCGGAATCTTTCGATACCAGAGCCTCCAGGAATGGTGGTGCTCAAGTTGATCAAGAAGGCAGCACTTTTCCAATAAATTCATATGAGTTCAATGTACTTTACGCGTTCAAACACTTGCACTACAGTTATATAAACTACTTACTTCTTGTCCTCCTGGTGCGGCTTGCAATTGCATCGCCTTGAAAGGAAGAACAACCTTGGTTCAAGTTGCAAGAGTCCTCCGGCGGCGGAGGCAGTTGTCTGAGCTGGACATATTTTTGTGCGGTGGATAGACAGTGGATAGATGACGATGGCTACGTTTTGTTGAGAAAGACTACGTTGAGAAAGACTGTGTTCTGCTTCCCTTTGCTGGACCCGCCTTAGGTGATGATGAGGAAGAAGGTGGCATGGGCTGCTGACTCAGCCCGGTGAAGCTGACATACTGCTCGAAAGTAGTTGCTTCTGGAGGTGCTGCAGCCACTTTCGGAATGTTTTGCGTGTCACTTCTCAGGTGGCATGGGCGGGATGGGCGGCATGGGTGGCATGGGCGGCATGCCAGGCCGGTGCTTTGTTCGCATTTCTCAGCAGACATCAATGAAGTCGTAAAATTCTCGTTGGCACACCCTTCTGATGCAAACGCTGTTATATATATAACCAATAAAAACTGCATTCTATGCATTCTATGGAATCATGGAGTCAAAGAACACTTGGCATTCCCAATTCTTCATCCTCTTTCTCATCCCGGTCAGGAATGGGCGGCCTTGGCGGCATGGCCTGATTCCTGGGCTTGTTGGGCAGAGATCTTTGATTCATTTGATTTCGTCCTGCGTGACCGGTAAGGACCTGTCCTCGATGATGGGTGGCATGGGTGGCATGGGTGGCATGGGCGGCATGGGCGGCATGGGTGGCATGGGCGGCATGGACCTCGGTGGCATGGGGATGGACGACATGGACCTTGGTGGTGAGGAGGAAGGCAAAGAAGAGCGGGCGCCCCAGAGTGTTGGAAGACTGAGAATCGAGTTGTTGAATTCATTGAGTGGCCGGGTCGGGATAATTGAATTTCTTGAATCACTTCGAGTCAAAATGTAATGTTTCAACATGTTTGTGATTTCTTTGCTGTCGATTTTAATTTGGGATTCAGGTGAGTGCCTGCGCCTCGAGGCAAAGATTGCAATGGGAACAGCAAGAGGGCACACAGACACAGTCCAATGAGTAGGAACAGGAAGCTTGATTGATTCAGCCTCTGCTTCTTTAGGCCAACCTCCTTCCCTGTGGAGGTTCTTTCTCTTGACTGCTTTGCACGCAGTGGTGGTGTGAACCAGAGCTGCTACTGTAGTCTGCCTCAAGGAAGGGAAAGCCAAGTAGGCAAGATGGCAGCTCAAGAGGTGATTGAGCGGGGGTCAAGCACATTTAATCAGCCATATCGAAAGAGAGAAATTCTATGGCCAGAGCGCCAACTCTCTCTCTCTCCCTCCCTCCCTCCCTTCCCGCTCTCTGAGTCTCTCCTTGATCGCCCCCATCAACCAAAGTTGTGTACCAGGTCCTTTGGAACAGAATTATCACCGGGATTACTGGTTTTCGCGGAGCCCATCTTTGGTTCATTTGACAACATGTTTACAACATGTTTACAAGTTGCTTCTTTTGCTAGTAGGTTGGAGGCCATCGCTATTGCTTCTTTTGCTTCTCCCGACCTTTTGGCTGGAAGTTTTGAATGGAGCTTCCACTGAGCGCTTAGAGGTGCTTCACTGGAGCATTTCTCGGGGTGGCAGTTCTGGTGCTTTGATTGACACTTTCAAGATTTTCTTTCGGCGCATTTGGTAGAACATCATGTCACACTACATTTATGTAGTACATCAGTACATCTCCCAAGATTGACTTTTAATTTGTAGGTGCTTTTGATTTGCATTTTGTGACACAAACATGCATGGGTCTGGAGCTGACCTGCAGAACAGAACTGCCATGCCATTGCACAGAGAGAAACAGGATACCCAAGGTACAAAGCCTTTGGAAGAGCCCTTGAAATTGTGGGCTGTCAGCCTTGCCTCGCTTGGAAGGTTCCTTGTGAAGTGTCAGAGTGTGTAGCCAGCTTACTCATTTTTTCAAGCGAGACTGGCTCCAATTGGGAGCGCAAATAGGTTGAAGATTCCAAGGCATAGAGCCAGAGACAGACCTGAGCCGCCTGAGCCGCCTCAGCCGCAGCTTGCGTGCTCCAAAGCTACATTTGTTGATTTTTGTTGGAATTTGTGTTATGTAATTCTTTGTGGCCACAGTACTGTAAGCTGGTTTGTGTTGGGATGATAGAAACGCCTTTGTACAAGTTGGAATCCATGTATATGCGGTACATATAATACATACAAACATGCTTGTGATGCCTGAGATGCGTTACTGTTTGGTTCACATTGCAGTTCTTTCTGTTTCATGTCGCAATGTAGAAAGAACTCAAGACTAATGGGAAGCAGAACATACCGCTGGTAGAAGAAACAGACACCACTGACCAAGTATCCCAACCCCCCTACCCCTCAATCCACACCAAACAGTGAAGACAATAATCGATCCAGCCGGTAGTCCCAGTAGTCCTTCTCTGTTGAGCCAGATGCCTTGCGCCTTCCAATTGCCGACTTGCTGATGGACAACATGGAATCTGATGTGGCAATGCAAAAGAATACAGAAGAAATGGAACATGCCGGTCCCGTGCGGAAAGACAGCCAGATGACTGAGGCAGAGATCCTATCAGAGCTTGCTTTTGTGCTCTATCTATATACATACTCATGAAGCTTCAGATTCACCGAAACAACAGGACGGCTCTATTCCCAGTCGAGCACCTTCCTTTGACAAGGACAGGCTTCCTTTGACAGGTCAGATGTCCCCGCTTCAATATATTGAGATTGAGGACTTCGAAGAAGAGCTGGACCGGGAAGAGGAGGATGAGGAGGAGCGCCGCTGGAAGGATCAGTTCAGGCGCTGTCTGTTGCACTTGATATAATGAGGGTGCTTCATCCTCGCTAAAGTCTCCTAGAGTTGTACTGAGACAGCTTGGAAGCTTTGCGTGATCAATTTGGTCTCTGTTCAGGCGGGAGCAGAACTTCCGATTTTCGCGTGTTGTTTCCTGGCTGCACTTTTGTCAGAAATCGAGAAAATAGAGTATATACATTATAATTATACATTTTGCTGTTTGATGAGCGGATACAAGGTCATGCCACGGACCATGATGATTGCCTGCCAAGCACTGTGGAACAGTCTTGAAAGCAATGACACAGGCAACGCACAATGACACACACACACACACACTTAGGGAAATGCGTACGGACTTGATTGCGGTTGCCACACGCCAGCCTAAGTGAAAAACCTAAGAGGCCAGGTAGGTGAAAACCGGTGATTCCAAGAAACCTCCAAAGCCTCCAAAAGCAAGTTCAAGTTCAGGTCCCAAGCTCACGAAATTCCAAGGTGAATCGCCGATGCACTAGCCCTTTACCGCAGAGACACAGAGTGCAGAAACAACGTCTTGGACAGCTTTTGCCATACTTAGGTTCTCAGAATTTAAATGCAGGTACGTCAACTCGGCGTCCCGAGTTGATATCACAGACCAATGCAAGCGTCTTTGTTAGTGCCAGACATGCATGGTCCCTGGCACCCCCTGCTTAAAAACAAAAGTCAAAGAACAAGAGACCAATCCGAAGGGATCCCTGTGACTCCGCACACACACACAGGCCTCCCGCATGGGGAGGCAGTTTTTCTAAGCTACATCCCTCTAAGGCTCCGGCAGATCCCAATGGATCTCGATCAAACTTTGGCCGCCACATACTCAGTGCCAAACTGGCCGGCCCTCCGGTCATCTAATGGCTTGCTCCAAAGCTGCCTACTTGTACTCAATATTCATCCGGTCTTGACAAGTGACTTTGTCCTAAGCCTACTCCGCCCGCTGTGCTCGTCGGGCTCACCCTGGGCTCTCACTGAGGAGAGACACACTTGTGGAAACGCGTGCGGACTTGATTGCGGTTGCCACACGCCAGCCCAAGTGAAAAACCTAAGAGGCCAGGTAGGTGAAAACCGGTGATTCCAAGAAACCTCCAAAGCCTCCAAAAGCAAGTTCAAGTTCAGGTCCCAAGCTCACGAAATTCCAAGGTGAATCGCCCATGCACTAGCCCTTCACCGCAGAGACACAGAGTGCAGAAACAATGTATTAGACAGCTTTTGCCATACTTAGGTTCTGAGACTTACATGCAGGTACGTCAACTCGGCTTTTTGAGTTGATGTCACAGACCAACGCAAGCGTCTTAGTTAGTGCCAGACTTGCATGGTCCCTGGAGTCCCTGGCACCCCCTGCTTAAAAACGAAAGTCAAAGAACAAGGAGACCAACCCGAAGGGATCCCCGTGAGTCCAAGGGCTAGACACACATACACTCCCACACCCACATGCGCACGCGCAATGTAGTGGAACACATGGAACATGTGCATAGTGACACGAGTGACCCTGAGCCACCCAAAGGATTGGCTCGAGTTGCTGAGTGGCCATGGCGTGGCGTTGCACCTGGTTCCGGACCTACCCTACAGACTAGCTCACCTGAAGGGGGGGTGTGTCTGGGCCGATCTCCTTCGCGGAGAATTGGGCAACGGATAGGTTCCGGCCCTTTTCCCTGCCCTGACACAACTCCGCGCTGTCCCAGATGACAAGAACCTACACTCCGTGACAGTTGAGCGTCCGGTACCTCGTTTTTGTGGCCCGCCAGACTTCCCAGAGGCTTGAGCTCGGCCTTCATCTCAGGCCACTTGAACTTGGACCACTGCTTGGCCCGAAATCCCGAAATGTGTCTGAACAACTTGTGCCAAGCCAGCTTTTGGATTCTTTTGGCGCTGGCCACGGCCTTCTTCCTGTGGGACGCGCGGAGTTGCACCTCACGCGCCTCCAATTGCTGCAGCGCGCAGCTTTCCTTCGCCGCTGCGGTGGCCAAGCTTTATCCGCCCGTGGATCCGCAGAGGGAGAGCCTGGAGACAGAACGCAGCCAAAGACAGGAAACGCATCCTGGTTTATTTCGGATCTTGGCGTGTGTATGAAACGCAAGCGCAGTTGTCCGCTTTGCAATCGCCCGGACGCGACTTGTGCCGCAGTCAGCCGCCGACTCGCGCAAATCACCAGGTGCTTTGGTCTCGAGCCTCATTGGTGTCTTGCGCGCAGCTAATTGCAGTAACTTGTTCGCGCGTCCATATGACTTATGACATGACTGCTGGCGCCCGCCGTGCGCAGACCTTTTCAAACAGCTGTGGGTCCTCCCTTCGCCTTCCTCATAGCCAATGCTTGGTGGCTGCAGTCAATATAGATTTATAGATTCCAGTGGGGTTCCATTGGCCTCGACGAAGGCCAAGTTTAAACTGGTACTGGCAGTACCTTTGCGCGGGTGGCTCCCTGCAGATCTGACGCCAGCGCAGCGCTGATCGTAGCCTGGGAGATCGACGGCGGCTGCTAGCAGTGGCCCAGATTGGAAGACGGGGGGGAGAGATCTTTCAGGATGATCGTTCCAGATCTTTGCCGTGCAGGTTTCTGCCAATAGACCAGATTGCAGAAGTTTGGAGACTTCCTCCAAGGAAGCAAGATCTTGCACCTTCGAAAATGTTATGATGTCGAATAAATTTGACATGTTTGAGGTTGAGGCCGGCGAAATGAGAGCAGACAGCAAATTTTGACACAATCGCATAGGCAACACCTTTTTTCAAGTAGTTATTGGGGGCAACCTGGTCGGCCGGGTGGGGATTGAGAGATGATGTAACTCCCTCGGAGTGACTTGCTCCCATGAGGTCTCGGGGACCCGCTTGCACTTTCGAGCAGATGTGAAGGAGATCCCCGAAGCGACAGTGCAGCACTTGCGCGCTTATGTGCAGCAGGCAGGGGCTATCTCAATGGAGTTTTTGAGTCTATTTTCGGCTTCTGTGTTTGGTAATTTGGTTTGACATTTGATTTGTTGATATTTGGATTTGTAACTTGAAACTTGTTATTTTTGCTTTCAATTGTGGACTGGAAGGCTCACCAGCTTGGTGTTGTCGCAGCTATTGCTGTCAACAGCCATGTGGAACAGGTCAAGCAGATAGCTGCAGAGGTCGATTGTCCAAACCCGGTTTCCGGCCTGACATGTGAGTGAGATACGACCGAAAGACGAATTCAACACAAGAATGCAAAAAAAATTGAACAGAAACGAAACTGCGAGTTTAACAAATGAACGCTGGAAATTAGGAATGCACGGTTCCTGTCAGGTGCAGCCCGATCTGACGCTCCACGTGCTCCATGTGCCATGCTGGGGAGCAGCGTGGATTGATCAGAACCCAACGGTTGATTTTTGTTTTTTTGTTTTCCTTTTCGTCCGGTTTTTATCTCTTAGAACCTAACAAAATCTAGTTTGCTTTCATTTTTATCCTT